GAACACCCGTCGTTTCGGTGCGAGAACTCTAGTCTGTGAGACAACTATCCGTATGTTGCTGTTTGCTGACGACTGTGCGTTGTCTTCACACAGCGCGGATGAGTTGTAGCACATGACAAGTGCTCTGGCTTCGACAGCGGCCAAATTCGGGCTCACCATCAACATAAGCGAAACTGTCTGTCTCTTTCAGCCTTCACCGGAGGTGCAATCTTCAATATTGCAGCGAATCGAATTTGGTGCTGAAGTATCGGAAACCACCTCCTGCTTCTGCCATCTTGGGAGTAGGATGTCGACTGCTCAACAGCTACACAGTGAGCTGCGTATTCGCGTGTCGAAGGTAGCGGCGGCATTTGGGAAGCTAGAGTTCTGAATGCGCAGCAACCATCAGCTTACCATTGGCAAAAATCTGATGGTGTACAAATCCATGGTGCTGTCCGTTCTTCTATGCGGCAGTGAAAAGTGCACAATGTACCGGCGGGATGTGCGATATTTCGAACGGTTCCAACAACAATGTTTGCGAAGGATTTTACGCATCGGATGGCGCGATAGAGTTGCGAACACGGAAGTGCCGCGACAAAGGGGAATGTGTGCAGCGGACTGCATACTCTTGCTGAGACACCTGCGGTTGCTCGGTTCTGTGAACCGCATGGATTCAACGCGGACATCGAAGCAGCTATCATCTGGTCAGCCGAGCATTGGGAAGCGGCATGTGCGGAAACAAAAGTTACGTTACCAGAACATGATCAAAGTGAGCCTCTCACCTTCTAATCTTGATTGCAGGTCATGGGAAACGAAGATACGTGATCGGCGTGCATGGCGCGATCTAATCACAAAGGCAGTTGCTGAAGTGCAGGAGAAAGACCACATACATGCAGAGAAGAAGCGGCACTTGCGGAAGCGGCAATCACAGATGGGTTTTACTCCATCAACATCAAGCGCATGGTGCTGTAGCACATGTGGTCGCGAGTGCATGAGTCAGGCAGACCTAGTGAGCCACAGGCCACGCCACTCAGGACCACTACCGAAGCGACGACAGGTCCTGCAGGAATGGTAGGCAGAACCGGCGAGGCGTTTGTAGGTACGTTGCATTCGATTTACTAACCACACGCTTGCAAGCTAAGTCTCTTGAATTCAGGTGGTGAGTTTTCAAGTTTGCCTTAACGCTTTTCTTTTTCACATTAATCTCTACCTGTACTATATTCTATAAACTTGCGCAAGTCAATGAAGCTAATAGTAGCTAGTTTCGATAACATTTCAGAGCTTGTGGCATTTTCTTAAAATATATCTTCTGACGTCTTGAACTTATCGCAAATTAGTCCGTAACAAATTAAGTTTATACGCCTATTTATTGAAGACCTATGCCACCGTATCTGTTTGCATTAATTGAGTTGTTTTATTTCAGCTTGTTGTTTTAAGTTGGTGACTGTTTCTTGATATCCCCCGGTGTACCTGCGCCTGCTGTACTTGTAGACAAGGTGCCTACCTGTCTGTTACAGACTACGTAGTCCATCTCGCTCCAGGAGACAGTTGGTCGTTGCTGGAGGGGACGGGGTGCACGGTCCTTGTGTTCGCGCTAGGCTGGAAGAGTGGTTCCACGCACTCAGTGTGGAGCGGACTACGGTCCAGCTACCGCCTTGTGTGCGCTTGATTCCCGAATACAGCGTGCTTGTGTTTGCCTGTGAAGGAGTGTGGGCCGGCTCCGTTGATGAAACGTGGCTCCCATCCACATGCCTCCCGGTCTTATTCCTTCGGGTTTACACTGGATATGGGGTGTGTGGTTGGAGCTGTGGGTGGTGCAGCGCAAGCCACCCATGGTCCCTCTGTAGACGCAGGCGTCCAGGGCTTGGCCAGAGTGACAAGCAAATCCGAAACCGGATGCCGCCAACCATGTATGTTTTTGTTAGCATTGTGACTGGACTTGTGAAAGGTGACTGAATTCGTGAATGGATCAATGTCATTCTTCAAATAGGATAAGGTTTGTGATGTAGGGATCCTCGGGATGGGAAGACGCAATGGCTTTATTTAGTTGTGAGTCACATCCGCCACGTCACGTTGTTGTTAAATGGTCCTTTGTTGCATTTTAGAGGGAGAACGCTTGTCAGACGAAAACCCCCCACGCCCTGGAACACTGCCGCCGAAATATTCGCTAAAACGGGAGTAACCCGAACCACTTAACTTTCATCACGTGGAGGTCGTTTGCTTAGCCAGATACAAAATGCAATTTGCGAACAACTGGATGCACTGTACGTATTCTTATTTAGTGACCAGGCTGCCAACGGCATTTTATTGGTGAACCTTGTTAAGGCACTCAGCTTGACTACTGAGCATATCTGCCACAATGAATTCCTAAGTTATTTCCGCCTAATACTGTTTAAGCCGACCAAACATTGATAAGTATTGAGAATCAATCAAGCGCCACTTATCCTATGCCAAATAACAAAATGGTCATTCATAGGTACGGAGAGTTATGTCGAACAGGAAGCAAGGTAACCGGTCGTAAAATCCCCCGCATAAGAGAGATTATTGAGCTAAATATATTCACCAACCAAAAAAGCTATAACTCATAAGCCATAGGCACCCGTATGGATACTTTGTTATCCCTAGGCGATGCATGTGATATATCATTGGTTCTCATTTGTGCTTAACTTTTTAAAATTAAAACCGTGGGAATCCAGCTCCCAATGATTGCCATGGACTGCGCAGTCATACCTCCAAATATTACTGAAGACGTTCTCATTTCGGTTTGCCTCCCCAGTAATTCTTGTCTCCTGATGACCAAACATCTGGCAGGTCCAAAGCATATGCTTAGCTGATAGTCTAACGACATTAATGTTAAGCAGCGCTGGTACCCATTTACATACAGTTTCAACTCAGAATAACTGCTTGCGCGGTAAATAAATGAGCACGTTTGCAGTATGGGTTAAAACCTTCCAAACAACAACTAAGTGGAAGGGTGACGACGTTCCTACTCAAATTACTGGACACAAAATAACCTTCTACCAGCAAGTTCATTAGCACAATATAGCGTGCACTGCAACCCATCTACTCTTTCATCTTCTAATTGCGGTAGAATTTATCAAAGGGGATCAAGTGTTTAAGGTATGCATATCTGAAAAGTGAAAGATAGTAAAGTTGGCGCCAATTCAGAGATCAAGGATTCAGCATGGATGATGCTCGATGGATTCTAGAAGAAACGTTCGAGAGCTAAACTAGCCAAATTAGTAGTAACTTATTCACAATGATCCACTTACTTCTCTCCGAGGGTGCTACACTATCTAAATGTGTGGTATGACAATACCACAGTCTACATGACCTCCTCGTTTTGGGCTGCTGACGCAAATATCATAAGCATTAGCGGGATACTTAGGTTAATTCGAAGTGCGACCAGGTAGCAGTATAAACCGAAGAACAGGCAAACGTTAGTATTACCTTTTCCGCTGATAGAGTAGATAAGCAACGCCTAGAAGCCGTCGAACAAAATGGAGGAGCAAAAGGATTTTCTGCGGATGCATGGAACTTGTTTCCTCAGAAGGAATATTCCAATGTAATACGAGAAGTTGCAACTTCGCGATGGTTTAACTTCGTCCTCAGATTGCTAAACATGGCCCGTAGCGCATATAAGAAAAAGAACACACTGAAATTGGATGGAACCGTTTAAATACTTCCTATATTACGGTGGTTAGAAATTCCGCATATAAAAACCAAGGAAATAAGGAATGTATGGCAGCGTCATTAGCAATCAGTCATGCGCGTGCCTGTAGCTACAAACAATACTCAACTACATACGTGAAAGTTCCTTTCGCCGCTTCTTTTGTTAACTTTGGCCAAAGATTTAATAACAATAACTAAGAGCTTGGCAGTTGTGTAACATAACAATCGAGGCCGCAGCGAGAAGGCTCTTATCAACAACAGGAAAGCACACTGCTGCGAGCTGTCAAGATTGCGACACACTAGGGGCACACAGTGTACAAGCTGTTCTTTGAAAACAAAATAGGGTGTGAGCAGGAAGCCCTCGCTAATCAGAGAGCACAAGTGAATGGGAGGAGATGCGTGCCGACTGCCATGAAATGGTGGCTATCAAACTAAGGATAAATAATGACGTCTATCTACGATGGTTCGTGCATCTTCGTCACAGTTAAACGCAATTAGACAGCCGTTGCATATCCAGGAAAGCATTTTCCTCAATGTACACCGGCTGTCTACCTGAGGGTCTAACTGCAACGAATCTGCACAAAAACCCAATACCCAGCCCCAATACTGCTCGCTATCTACGATATTTTAATGTCAGCACTGCATGCACTTCAGCTGTCTCCGCAAAGCAGGCTGAAAGTTAATTCTAATACAAAGGAATAATCGTTCCCTATTACATAGATCGTTCAGATTATTAGTAATTCGAAAAGCTTATAGGCTACATTGCTAGGTGAGTAGTACCTGGTCTGTTAGTTACCCAGCGAATAGCCCTCAGTGGTTGTGTGAGAAAAACAGAGTACTTTTTAATTAATGACTTCATATAAACTCGTCGAATGACGACAGTTTTATCGGGATGTTTAAGATAACTTGGACAGATGAGCCTAACTGGTTCGTTTTCTTTATACCCTACTATTAACCTGTGGTCATTCACGCAGCCCTAACTAAATGCGGGCTTCTGTGATTAAACGAACGGGTATCCTCATAGAAAAAAACCTAGTATATAATCCTTGAAGGGCTTGGGAATAGTGACACCAAGGAAACTGACCGAGTGTCGTTTAGGTGATCCGGAACACAGCAGTGCATTCAGCATATGCACAACAGGGGGTGCTATAACAGTCAACGGTTATTTCGATAAGAGAGGAAAATCTTGTATGCTTGATCCCATTTCGAATGTAACGATGATACATAGGACAAACAAGCAGAAAGAAATCGAGCTAAGCCTGGCTCAGTGAAACCGCCCCACGGTGACCAAAACCGTGACAATGCAGAATACGGTGACACAGTTTGTCTTATTAATATCTAAAACTCACCAATCAGCTTTAGGGATGCGTGTGGCTCACTACCAAGGAACCAGTACTTGTCACATCGTCGTACCCACGTGTTTTGGCAGTGAATGGCTTTCGTATCATAATTGGCTGGATAGGTCAACACGAGACAGAAGATCTTGGGGGCATGAAGCAGTCGGCGAACCTTGACTGATATGTCGTCGGTGAAGTTGTGCTCGGCTACAAGCATCCATGGTACGCCACAGGTCGATGGTTGTCGCCACAACCAGGCAATCTGCTCCAAACCGATGTACGAGAAAAGCATGAGTCCACATAAGGCTCCAGATAATAAGCCCGCATACACTCTCGCCGCCGTTTGTTTCATTATGACGGATGGATCTGTCGATCAACATATGCGATTTGTTTCTTGCATTGAGAAAACAGGGAACATACTAGATAAGTATGCCAACAAAGTTAATAGTTGATGAACTTAACTGCGGATTGATAGCTGAGATAGAGACAGAGTGGGAAAACACAGTGGTTATATTTTTTCCACAATCCAACAAAGGCAACTAATTCCAGACGGAGTTTATGCACAGTTGAGTTACGGTAGTCAGCGCTTTATCAGCTGTTTGACTGGGTGTCAGATGGACCAATACAAATCCAATTCAAGGCTCTCTTGGTTATAACGTGGTGTTATCGATTTCACACGTCTGTAATGCACAGTATAGTTCGTTTCGATGTGAACTAGTTAATAACATACTCCGCCACAGTCTGCTCACGGAATGAGATCACGCAATCCCTAAGAAGTGTTATTTATACACAAATAACAAACACCGTTTTGACATCTGCGGTGCGTGGCAGTCTAACACTAGTCAGTAGTCGATTAAACTGTTCCTATTGCCTGGATACATCAGAGCCATTGTGTATCCATTAACGCCAGCTACCCATTGATTAGACTGTCTGAAGCGTTGTCTTTGTGGGGCACAATACATTCTGCGTATTGCTGAAACTGACGTGTCCTACTTTCGTGCGCTACGGGCCGAATACTACTTTCTACTGTGTCGTGGTTCAGTACTGGCCGAATTGTAACCTTAGTGATGGGGATCAATTTTGAATAATTTTGCTATGAGCCAGCTCACTACACCTGAACCATTTTTGAAGAATGTATCTTATAAGCTAACTTCAGCGTTTTGGATTCGCTGGAAGCGAACCTTCTGCGACTACCTTGTACTATTCCCGGTAACAAATCCTCACATTAATCTTACCGAAGTCCAGTTTGTCAAACTCCTGAGAAAACACCTTGGTGCATAAGGTCAAAGGCATTTTGATGCACTGCGTTTGTACGAAAACACATCTTTTTCCGACAGTGTTAATGCACTCGATTGCATTTGGGGCCCCCGCTGCAGCATGTCTTCACGGCACGCCTGAGCTACCCCCGCTTATGACAGGGAGAGCAAAGTGTTAAGCAATTCATCAGCCGTATACAACAACCCCTCCAAGACTGCCGTTATAATGAAATTCCACCCCCGAATTTTGAAGAGACCATGGCCATCGAGGGTCTGTTAGTTGGTGTCCGGGAGGAGAAAGCTAGAGAAAGTCTACCTTCAGAAGACGAGAACATACTTATTTGGGAAACAACATGTGAGCTGGTCAGACAGCGCGAGAATTCGGTGCAACAATCGGTTCACTATCGGAACGGTTCTCTTCCCGACGCAGTTCACGCTCTTAAATCGCGTCCTCAACTATCCGTTAAAGGTTCTTTTACTTGATACCGATGTAGTAAATATCATGAAAACAATGCTGACTGTAAACACAAGCTAGCTACCTGTCACAACTGCGGCAAAGTTTGACATCTTGCCAACGATCGGTATCCCCGCCCTGCAAAAAACACCGTACATTCACTGGAAAATTCTGAGGCGTCCACATCGTATTTAATATCACACACTACCACATCTCATATCATAGTGATACCCCAATATACTGTGAATTTGGACATAGAGGGACAACCAGTGCTCGTGGAAATCGACACCAGGGTATCAGTCAGGTTGCTCAGCTCGCGAACATTGCCTGATCGCATTATGACACCGACTCAGTCTAGGTTACGCTCTTACAGGGGAGAAGTGCTAGATGTATTGGGTGCGGGTGATGTGAGGGTAAATCATGGAAGAGATATGTTGACTCTTCCGTTAATCGTGACGAACAAAGATGGCCCGAACCTGCTTAGGAGGAATTGGTTATAACACATACCGGAAATACTTCGAAATGTAAAAAAGGTGGACCGCATCCCAGATTTGCCCACACATTTGGAAGCTTTGTTACTGTTTTTGATGCAAATCTGTCCGGGAAATTACGTGATTTCCAAGCTCGTTTCTACATCATGCCAGGTACGCAACCGAAATTTTTCAAAGCAGGATGTTTGCCTTTTGTTATCCTTCCGGAGGTAGAGTCGGAACTGTAGCGTCTTCAAAAGAACCGAATATTTCTCTTGTGGGCCACTCATCCTGGGCTTCACCGATCGTTCCGACACAAAAGTCAGATAGCTCCATTAGCATTTGTGGTGGCTACAAACTGACGGCTAGTCAAGCGATGACTATGAAACACTAGCCTATTCCACGAATTGATGACCTCTATGCAACTTTGTCGGATGGACACAAGTTCTCCAAACTTGAGCTGAACCACGCTTATTCACAGGTGAATCTTCATGAATCTGCTAAGGCATTTACGACAATCAATACACACTTGGGGTTGTTTCACTATGACCGTTTCCGTTCGGAATGTAGTGAAAGGTATACCTGATGTGTGTGCTTACTTGAACCATTTCTTGGTTACTGGCAGTACAGATTACGCGTATCTGAAGGTACTACCTAATGTTTTGCAGCGTCTGCAAGATAACGGACTTAACCTCAAAGAATCCAAGTGTGTCTTTTTCTCTGACAGCGTTGAGTACCTGGGGTTTCGTTTGGACAGACATGGGTTATATCCATTACGGGAGAAAATTCAACCCATTCACGATACGCTGACACCACTTAACATTTCCGGATTGCAATCATTTCTCGAGATGTTGACTCACTACAGCCGTTGTTGGCCAACATAGCAACTACGCTCGCACCCTTGTATGCATTGTTGCGTAAGAATACCCGATGGCTATGGTTACCAGAATAACAAAACGCTTATGCTGTTGTCAATCTGGCTATAAGTAAGAGCAATTTGTTGGTACACACTGACCCAAAGTGATCGATTACTCTCCGGTGCGATGCATCACCCACAGGGCTCGGAGACGGGCTATCTCACAACATGGATTACACGTCTAAACGACCCATCGCTTTTGCATTCAGGAGCTTGGCACCAGCGGAGAGGAAGTTCACCCAGCTAGAAAAGGAAGCCTTAGCAGTCATCTTTTGGCTCGAGCGATATCACCAATACCTTTGGGAAAGAAAGTTTGAAAATTTTACAGACCACAAACCCCTATTAACTTTTGTCAGTGAGGAAGAGGACATCAACCAGACGGCATCCCCTCGTTTGCAAAGTTGGACCTTACTGCTTACGGCTTACCTCTATAAAATCACATATGTTCCAGGGAAAGCGAATGGAATCGCCGGCCCTCTGCACCGCTTACCGTTAAGTCAGTTATCCGAGTGCGTACTGAAACCCGCTGAACTGGTTACACTGCTTCAGCATTAAGAGGGAAATCTAGTGTTAAGTGCAGATATCCGTCATAAAATGGAACGTGACATACTACTGGCCAGGGGCAAACGTTTAGTATCCCCGGGAGGGCTTGATAAATGTGAGCCGTAACTGCTATGCTACTTTACTCGACGCTCCGAGCTTAGTCTTAAAGATGGATATCTACTCTGGGATCCAGAGTGATCACACCATCCCGATTGCATCCAGATGTTCTACAAGAGCTGCAGGAAACTCACCCGGGAATAACGAAGATTACTGAAAACTAAAAACTGAATACTGAATACTGTATTTTGGAGCAAGAAGAAAATAATTCTGTACAACTCCATCGGGTGATAATCAAAAACATTTTAAAAAAATAAACACGTCCGGTGGTGATCCTGAGATGGTTCAGCAACTCCTTTTGTAGCGCACAAAATGCTTGTTCACACAGTGAGTCACAAGTGGGTGATTTCATTGTCAAGTGGCAACCGTTCTCTGAAACGTATGTTAGCAAAGTGTAAATCCAACAAAGATTTGAATTTCTGCACAGATTCGGCCTCGACGACGTGTTCTGGCAGACTGTTCCAGGCGTGCACAACCCTCTGCTCGAAACACAGGGGGTGTGGGATTTTCTTCAGATCAGGTACTAAGAGTTTGTACCTGTGCCCACGTGTGGTGCATGGTACTCGCAAGTAGAGTAACGACCTCAGCATGGGGAAATGACCGAGATGTAAAATACGGTAGGTCATGATAAGATCCACTCGAACACGGCGATACGACAAGGTGTAGAGCCCAAGTTTCATGCACCAGTTTTCATACGCTAAGCCTCTCAAGCTGGGGATCAACTTGGTGGTGGAGATGAAAGGACTTGTGCGATTCTAAGAGTGCTGGCCCAATATTGACAGCGACATTGATGAGTTAGTTCGACGCTGCGACACTTGTCAAACCATACAAAGACGCGCCCTTCCTGTACCACTCAGCCCATGGAAATGACCCAGTAAACCATGGGGGGGAGCGTACATGCTGACTTCTTCGACTCACTCGATGGGAAGGCGTTTCTTCCCTTGGTCGACACTTATACGAAATAGATCGAAGTTTTCCCGCTAACACTAGTTACTTCAGAATTTCATGTATGCAAACGTGTTTTACAACCTTTGGTATATCGCACACTTTGGTGACAGACAATGGCTCAGTGTTTACTAGTCAGGAATTTCAGGAGTTTCTGAAAAATAACGGCGTACTTCACGTGAATTCGGCCACTTATCACCAAGCTTCTAATGGCTTGGCTGAAAGGGCGATGCAAACGGTCAAGAATAAGCTTCGAAAACAACTGCCGGCACCATTGGGAACAAAGTTAGACAAATTCCTTTTTGGTTGTCGCTCCACACTAAACGAAACAACTGGTAGGAGCCCAGGTGAAGTAATGTGCTGGCAGAGATTTAGGACGCGGTCTTACGTCCGAGGGGAAGCTTAAAAATTTGACAAGGAAGAAGGGACAGCTAGAGCAGCTGAGAATTTGGTACACAAACTGTAACGGCATAAGGAATAAGTAGAAAGAACTGACGGTAAGTTTCAAACTTGCCTATATAGTTGCAGTTACTGAAAATTGGCTCTCCCAGAGTGACCCAACTTGTAACTTACTTTATGACTTCTCCGAATATAGAGTGGAGAGGCCTGGCCAACATGCAGGTGGGGGTGTGCTTTTGCTTATCGAGAGTT